AAGAGAAGAGAAGAGAAGAGAAGAGAAGAGAAGAGAAGAGAAGAGAATTCTTTATTGGCCAAGTGTCTTGGTGCATCTCCAAGACAAATTCCTTGTGTGTCCAACCACACTTGGCCAATAAAGAATTCTATTCTATACTGTATGTCTCAGTATCCTTGTTTCGGTGGCTTCAACAAGTGACTTCTTCCACCTCTATTCATAGTTGGTAACCTATTCCAGTGTGCCGCATCATGATGCTCGCGGTTCCTGACTATCAGAGATGTGTTGTAAGGAACAAACCTGGTGAGGCAGGAACCAATAGTTTCCAGATTGATGGAGAAATTTTATGCCAACATACCTCAGGTGCCTCAAGGTCAGCCAAAGTTGACCAAATATACATTGACTTTCAAGGCAAGGGAAAGAGGCTTAGAATTTAAACCATGAATCGTATATATAGGTTTCACTCTGACATACTGAAATAGGAAGTTCTTCTATATGTTTGTATCTTCATTCTAGGCCAGGGGTGTCAAACTTGCAGATCACATTATTGTCACGTGACATATCTCAATTTTCTTCCCCTTCACTGATCTAGGGGTGGGTGTGGCCAGAGTGTGACGCATCCAGCTCATGGACTGCTAGTTTGACCCCTATTCTAGGCTATAACAAAACTGATCTAGCTGAGTCAAATATCTGTAGACATAATACATGTTATCTAGTATATAAAATGTTTTAAATACCATCTAATATTTCATCACTGTCCTTTCATTACTGTGAATGAGGAGCAGGATGGCTCGTGTAGTTAGGATGCTGGGTTGAAAAGCAGCAAACCTGCGTTTGAGACCCAATTGCTGCAATGGGATGGGGTGAGCTCTCATCATTTGCTCCAGCTTCTGCTGACCTAGCAGTGTGCATTCATAAGAAGATAGATAGGTACCACTTTGGTAGGCACATTAATGGGGACATGAAAGGAGCTCCCTACTAGGCATCCCATAGTAACAGATAATCACAGATAATCCTTTCAATCTGGAAGCAACTTGGTGCTTTCAACAGGAGTGCAATGCAATTACTGTTAATCTTTAAAGTATTCCTTTTTGTTTTCCCTAGGTGCATCAGATTCCACAGGGAGACAGACAGCTGAAGCCTCCAAAACCCAAAAGGAGGAAGATCTCTAGATAACATTGAATGAATTTGTTACTGATCTGGCTCTTACATAACATGCACATAATTTTCATATATATATAGATATATATATAGATATAATCACCACAAGGTGCTAAACAAAACAGTGGTACAGTATTCTTATTGATAAAGAGGGAGAAGTTAATCCAGATCTTCTAAAGATTGAAGAGTGTCTATAAATCCTTTTTTTCTATAATACTAAAATTGTGATTATAAAATTATAGTCCAAATGTTTCTGCAAAATTTTCATTATGTACATAGATAAAACAGAATTTCATGACGATATCTGAAATGTAAATAGTGTACTATTGTCATGTACAAGCATACCTAATGCACACTTTATCTTTTATTGTACAAAAGAATAGTGTACAAAATTCTTTGGTTTCTATTGAGTACACGTACAAGAGACTACCAATGTAAAGTGATAAATAAAAATACAGCCTAAATGCTTTTATATAATAATGTAAAAAATGCTGTTTTTGTATTTAACAGCAGTGAAAAGGCATGATTATGTAATCCCCTAATTATGACATAACACTTTTTGCCACTGAGTGTTCATTTATAGTGTCTGTTTGGAATGAACCTGGCCTGGAAGTACTGTACTCCATTTTGGGTCCCTGTAGGAGAGTGAAACCTTGCAGATTCCTAATGGGATGTGGGATCATAGGTCAAATTAAGATATCAAAAGCTGCAACTACTGGTTGCGTTGTTGTTTTTTTAATTGAGTTTTAAATTATAATATTTTAGATTTTTTTTAATTAAAATATTTAGATAGACTATTTGAGTCAGCTTTAACAGAATTTCCTAGCTACCCGCTTTGAAATCAGAAACATATCAGCATTCATTTTTACTTCCTTTTTTTTTTTTAACAAAGCCTAAAGTAGCTTTTCCAATTTATTTAAGCAAAAAACACAATTCCTATTAAAGTATGAGAGCAATAGCCCAATTGAAGGATTCATTGTTGTTGCTAATTGTTAGCAGTAAGCTTACGATTTAGCAAAAACGTGTTCCTAAATTAACAAAGGGATTCAGTGACCAGCTGTCCTTGGATATTTTTACTGTATTCAGTGGACTGGATGAGCGTAAGCAGTTCCTGAATTCCCCTGCCTGCCAATACTAACAGCATTTTCCTTATTAATAGTAAAAGTGAAAGGTGGCTTGCTAAACTATTAGCAGCAGTGGCCAGGATCCAAAGGACTCCACAACTAGTTCAGTGCATCTGTAAGATTGTTCAAAGTATCTTTTGAACAAAATCTCTTTTTCCCAGTTTGGAGATTACTAGCATTCTTGAACCATTGGCAACTTCCAAAATAATTCTTGGAGTTCTTGTTTGAGAAAGGTAGCAATTAGTTAAAGCCCGGTTGAAACATATCCGAGTCTTTGGATGGACCTAATGCAGTTCTTTGGATCCCAGCCAGTGATTTTATCAGTATTATGTAACAGATCAGATTTATTTTATTTAATAAGAATTATTTATACCATTAACAGATTCGTATATATAAATATATAAATATATCTTTATATATATTTATATTAATGTGGCAGAAATGTGCAGGTTGAATCTAACTAGATTATTTATGTTATGTTAAGTTTGAAAGAAATGTGAAGCATATATGTTAGAATATGATAGTACACTACAGATACATGAACCTGAAGCTGTGAGGTTTCTCAAAATACCCATTGTGTACCTTTGAAAGAAATTATAATGCAGTGTCATTTTTAATATGGGTGCTGCATATAATGGCAGTGGCCTTCCCCACTTTTCCAAGTATCCCAGTTCACTATGACTAGGCCCAAGATGGAGTCTCCTGAGGAATACCTGCTACCTCTTCATCTAGGAGCCACCGTTGTATCTCATCCTGGAACGTCATTCATTTAAATGGCCTAGTTACCTCTCCTAGCAAAGATTACTGGTAATCAGCAGTATCCAAGCCTGATGACAATAAGTCTGTAACCAAAATGTAGTGCTTACATGAAGAGAACTTATCACCTGCCTAAGTTCATGTTCTCGGGGCCTCACTCTACTTTCCATGTGAAATGAGTCCCAGAGGACAACAGCTTTTGGGAAACAATTCCCCTCACACCCCCGGTCAGCTCTCCTTCCCAATGCACATAACTCTAGCATGGGGTTGGATCACCTTAGTCTCATCTGGACAGCTCTTATTCCTTTGTCCACACCCCAGTCTGAGGGAATGCAATTAACCACACAAAGCTACAGTGACCTGGAGACAGGAATCCTTCTACCTGCTGGGTAGGTTCATTGTGTCTTCTATTTGATGGCAGGGTAGTCTCACAATCCTACATGAAAACTCATTTGAAATAATACTTTGTGTAGATCAGTTAGCACTCCTATTATTTTTATTTTTGTTACAAGTTGATGTGTTTGTTATGTTTAAAGACTTAATGTTGTCCATTTTTCGTACCAGCCGGCTTTCTGCTCGTGTCTAAACAGATGTTTCTATTCATGAATACTCATGGGTGTGTGTATGGGTGGATGTGTGTTTATATTTAGTAGTTTTTTTAAAGATTTTCTTTGTCCCTAAAACTGAATTTGTATTGACCAACCCTTCTTTTGACATTTTTAACTAATTAGGTTTGTACTCTTTTTCTCACCAATGTATACTTTACATTAGTAGACTATGTAAAGTATTTTTGTGCACTCGATTTCATTGGTTAATATTGGCATTGATGTGGGTGCTAGGAATAGTTTGTTTCAGTCCATACAGATTTTTCCCTCATTTTTAGAGTTTTTATGGTTTTATGTAAGCAGTTGATGTAAATATTGTGAGCATTACAGGTCATGCAGTGTTGTAACATTTTTAAAAATGTTGCACATACTTTACAATTAAAAAGCTGGTCGCTCGTACTTGAATTTGCCCATAGAGCCATTTCTTTCTCTTTGCATTAATGCATAAATGACTTCTTTAAAAAAAACAAAAAACTCAAGGCCCAACCCTATGTTTTTGTTGTTGTTGTTATTGTTTAACAAATCTATATTTTTCTAACAGAAGATTTTAACGTTTAAAATGTTTTGCCACCTTTCTAATTTATAATAATAAGCTCCTATATTTAGAGAATGAAAAAAAAAATACCTTCATTTGCAAAGATAGAAGAACTGATTCTGTAACTTGGCACGATGACAGAAATGAGAAGCAAAACCAGTGAAATTGGGCCCCATAAGATGACTAGCCTCTCATTAGCTCAATTAGTGGATGTTTGTGTGGTGTTTTGAGGATATAAAGTGGTAACTATCCTCATGTGTCTATTTATTTATTTATTCTTGGTCAATTGTGATAAAAATTATATAAAATCAAAGAAATTATTCTTTCTATCATGGAGATTTATGAACACCATTTCTGTTTATGAAGAAGTTTTAGTTCCTCTAGCCAATTATTTAGGCTGGCAAATGTTGCTGGCACTAGTTCTAAAAATCATGTCCAAAGGGTGGAAATTAATATATGTCCCATAGCAGTCATGGCCACAATCTTAAGTTTGGAGTTTTGTTTTAGTCTTCATATTTAAATTGACCAATGCCATTGTGCAGACAACACGCTAATAATGCAATATTATTTGTGAATTCCCAGAATTTAATGGTATAAAGTATCATGGTGGACTGAATACCTTTTATTAGCTACAGTTTGTATTTTGCTACATAGGGTTTTTAATATGAATATTCCAGAAGAGCAATAGCATAATAATGCTTTTCTATTTTAAAAGAACCCCATTCTAGTCTTATTAAGAATTAGATTTTTTTTTTAAAAAAATACCAGTTTTGTAAAATTTGATAAAATTGTCAATATTATGATTAAATCACACAAAAAATCTCACTGTGATGTTCTCTTCCGGAAGGGGGCCAGATTTGCGCAACACTGAGCTGGGAGGGGGTGCACATCCCTGATTTAAAAATGGGGTGTACTTTGTAATATTAAACAACCAAAAACTAATGCTGAGTTAAATATTTAAATCTGAGATTCTTTGGCCCTCCATATTTTGCATGTTGTATCCACATTCTAATATTGGTGTGTCAATTAATTAAATACCATACCCAGAGGCCCATTAAAACTTGAAAATATATATTTTCTTCTATACTCTGCACATTACTCCTAGTGAAAGCTTAGTATTATTCTTTAATTCACTTATTTTGTGAAGCTTACCTAAATGAAGTTTGCAGATGTCTTGAGGACATGAGCAAATATACTTTAATTTCAGAATATAGTCTATGCAATTAATTGCATCCTACATATTTTATCTGATACTTTAAAAATTGGTGCTATTCACAAAGAAGGCATATTTCTTTCAATGCAGATGCAAGTACTTTATTGATTATCTCCAGAAGTGACCAATGGCCAGATGATCATGAAAGACTTTTCATGGATATCCCGATTTTTCTCCAAATATTGTAATCAAATACAATAGATAGATAGATAGATAGATAGATAGATAGATAGATAGATAGATA